TTCTCCTTCTCACAACGAAAACTTCTTTTCCAAAAACGTTGCAATGATCTCGCCCATAGTTCTTCTTCACAGTGGAACCCTTGTTCCGCAATGATTAATGCTCTGTGTGTTATTCACAGTTGATCTGAACTTTTTGACTTCTTCATAACTAAACCATAAAAAAAAAATCGATTTCGTAATGAGAATGTTGAGAGAGTGGTGGTTTTGAGGAAGTTAGGTCATCCCTGTTTCAATTTCAAAAAGTTTGGCGATTATGATGGAAGCGTGCGTAATTGGTGTCTCTTCCCTTTTCTTCCGGAGGTGTCCTTAGATGTTAGGAAACCGTTCAACTTCAACAAAAGGTGTATTTTAGACTTTCGTTATGGTATGTGGATTTTTTTACTTATGTTTTCAATAGTAATACTTTTTATCTAACATTTCTAATAATATATACCGGCCCTCATAATTTCCAAAAAAAAAAAAGAGAAAAAACTTAACCATCATAATTTTCAAACCCCCCTCTCTATCTCTCTCTCACACGCAAGCATTGTCTTTCTCTCTCACCATCCAAATATAAAAAAAGTTGAAATAAAACAGAGAAAAATAAAATAATTAATGGAATATAAAAAAGAAGTTCTTGATAAATATGTAACTAGTAAAAAAAAAAATTCCTAATTGTTTTTTAAATGAACTTCAAAGAATTCAAAGATAATGAAACTATACAAGAAGATAACAATAAACATATTCACTATCGTAATTAAACATATAATGAGACAATCATGACGTAAAAAAAAAAAGAAAAATGTTTCAAGAACATAAAAATCTTTATTGTATGCATCATAAAAAAGATTGAGTGAATTAACAATCCTATTAATTAAAAAATACGTGGTAGCAACACATAAATATAAAAACTTAATTATTACTTTTGGATCTCAAAAAGTGAGAAGACTAAATTATATATAATTTTTATTAATATTAAAAATAAAAAAGTCTTATCATAATTGTCGTTTTAGGCCTCAAAATGTGTCGACCCGCTCCTGTCCAAAGTCTAGGTTGGGACATGGATACATGCAGGTTACCTGTTTAAAAGAAGATAAGGACCAGTTGTCAACGGTGTCATCATCACTGTTTGTGTAAATGCCAGCAATATTCAGTTGATCTGGATGGGAAATCTTCTTGAGTTTTAAGTTTATCATGAGCAACCGGAGGGCCGGCCTCTTGTTAGGGAATGGGTATGGCTTTCTTTCATGCACGAAAAGATTTGTAGAAGAGTAATATTATATGAACTTAAAAATTTTAACAATTAAATAAGTAGTGGATTCTAATAAATACTGGAATTCACAATGAAATCCATTGTGAAGTTTGTGTTATAGACTGGTTGTATGTAATACTAGGATATGTTTCCCATTTATAAATTATCCATTTGTTGGATAGACAATAAAGTAAATCCTCGCTATTTATGTAATTTCAAATTATGTCCTTTAAATTCTTTACTTGACATATTGAAGTTATTATATGTAGTTATTCGTCCTAAAATTGACAACATAATAACAAAAATCGTATTTTTATAGGTTATCTACTGAGATTGGATGGTGCCTTGGGAGAGCAATATTATTTTTTTGTTTAATCATGTATTGATACTTTTGGTGAATATTTTTTTAAATATTTTGTTTGAAAATTTCGACTATCACATAGTTGTAACGGATTTCTTTCTTTTTTCGGATATTGAAATATTTTTATTTCATTATTTTTATGTTGTCTTGTAAAGCATTTTTATTCTAGTCAATTTAATATGTACAATTTATTAGATATGTATGTGTGCTAAGGGAAAACATTATTGCAAATGAAATTTATATTTTTTTAGAATAAAAAGTATTTTGCGTCTACAAAAATGCCGAAGCAAAAAAATGATTATTTGCGTTGGCTAAATACCGAAGAAAAAAGGACCATTTGTGTTGATGCCAAAAAATGACTATTTGCGTCGGCATAATGTCAAAGCATATACCTACCTTTTGTTTCGAATTTTTTGCGTTGGCAAGTTAATTCGTTCTTGTGTTGGCTAACTTTTTGCATCACCCTTTTTTTGCTTCCCCTCCTTTACCGATGCAAACAATCCTCTTTGCCAATGCAAAGAGTATTTGCATCGACAAACAGGCTATTTTGCAAACTGCTTTTCTTGGAGTGCTGGAACAATCGTGTTGTGCCCCAATTTTCTTTTTTTTGGTCAGATCATCAAGTATCCGAAAGTTACTTTAGACTCCAACTAATTCGAATTCGAGTCGAGTAAGACCCCAAGGACGGCAAAACTCTCCCTACCGAATGCAGCTGCGATCCCAAGACTCGAACTCGAGACCTTGGTTAAGGTAAAACAGTCCCTCACCAACTGATCTAACGCTCGGTGGTTTGTGCCCCAGTTTTCAAAAGATTCATGAACTGCATTAGAATACTTAAATATGCAAGGTGAATGAATAAAATACAGAAAATTGGTTTTTATATACAGTTTCTTGCAAGTTTTGACAACTAAACACAGGATAACCTCTGGAGACAAGTAACATTTCTCTCTTTTTGATAACTAGAATTGTACCAATCGTGCACATTAACGGCTTAACAAGAAGCATCTATTTATGTTAAACATTGAGGAAATTTCCCTATATGTGAAGATATTTCCATTATCTGCCACGTCAATTGACTTATCAGGAATCCTTGTTTCAACTTTATACAGCTGAATAATATTCTACCAATAAAATTCAACTGTACATCACTAATCAAAGATTTTATGTACTACGGAGAACTTCATTGTAACGTACGTCAGTACGTATGTGCATTACTTGCACCACTCGTCAAGTAACCATTCTTCAAAATTGATGTTGTCATATTTTTACAAAGAAGTTACGAGCAATGTTATACAGATTTAAAAAATTGGTTTGATGTTGTGATTGTTATATTTGTCATTGATTTAACTATGAATTTTTGTATTTATTGGGATTCACTACCTATTCAATAATAATAATTCATCAATTGTTTAATTCTCTTTGACAGTACAAGGAAATTGTTAATAAAACAATAACATTACATAGGACTAATTTACTGTCAAAATTTCCTCGTTGGATTTGATTTGAATTAAACCTCATCCTAAATTGAGATGCATTGCTAATTTAAATTATGCAGTGGATTTGGTCACCTAATTTAATTTATAAATTTTGTCTTACTGAAAATCCATAGGGGGTGTTTGGCAAATCACTGATGGACTGGACTGGGTTGGATTTAAAGTCCTAACCAGTCTAGTGAAATCCCAATAACCCGGATTTATAGTGGGATAAAAATAAATTAGTTAATCTTATCCCAGAGTTGGTTAGTGATTTATGATGTTGTAGGGCTATGGATAAACTATAACTTTTTTTTAAAATATCTCATAACTTTGACATTAATTGACAATTTTACCCTTGAATCCAATTCAATCTTATGTAATGTTTGGCTTGCAAATTATTGGTTACCACTTTACTATTTAAGTGAAAAAGTAGGAAAACTTATGTATTGTACAATTCAAACTTTTACACGTTCAACTTACAAAACATTTTAAGAAGGCGATCACAAAATTATTTGATCCACCAAAAATATAAAAAAGTTAAAAAAATAAAGAATATATGAGAAATTAATACACAAGACAAATTCACATGAACATTAAAATTAATGACCCGTTGCCTTATACTTAAAAATTCACAAAATTAAGGCATTTTACTTAATATACCATACAATACATCTCTATTTTAATAGTTGCCTTAACCTATACAAACAAAATACAGGCAAAATATTTGAAATGGTAAGTTTAAGACATATGCACACATATTTAGTACATCCTACACTATCACAAGCGTGCTGACGTAATTACCAAAATGACTTGTGAAAATTACTAAGTCTAATATACACACAACTACATACAAATATGCATATTAAGTGCGAACCATGCACATAACCATCACAGACCCAATCAATCATCGATGACTATAACATCGACGTGTTTGGGAGAATTAATTAACGTGGATGAACTAACATTGTCTAATTCTTGATTGCTTGAAGTAGCTTCATCTCGTTTGAAAATAACCACAAAAAATTGAAAGTTGTGGCATGGTGCAAGTAAATCAACTTTGGCCAAATTTATTTAAAATAGCATTGTCGACATTTAATCTAGCCAAAGTATGTCATTAATTTCCATGAACCTAAATCAAATTACTCATTCCCAATTGTACAATATCTTTTCTTTTATTTGATGTCATTGCTGAAAATTTAACGAACACTTACTTGAAAATAAAATAGTAATAGAAGCAAGGTCATAACAAATTTAATAACATCTAAATTTACGAATAAAAGTAAAATCATTAATTTCTTTCCAAAATAAAAATAGATTGTACAAATATTTGTTTTATCAAATTGGGTGGCCAGTCCCAAAGGTCCAATAATAATCCAAAAAAATCAATAATAGAAAGGAAAAAAGATAAAAAAAAAAAAAAAACTATTTTCCTCTCTACTTTGCGATTTTCTTCACGAGGTACACATTGCTGGAGGCCACAAAGTCCACACACACACACACACACATATATATATATATATATATAGAGAGAGAGAGAGAGAGAGAGAGAGAAAGAGAGAGAGAGAGAGAAACATACCTTGCCAATGGCAGGAGTTCACGTCGTTCTTCGATGGGGACCGGTGCAAAAGGGAGAGACCCTAATTTTTGTGCTGGACAGGGATAAAATGGTAAAATAGGATTTGTATCCTGTCGGCTGGAGGCTAATCCCAAAGTTTTGGTGGGATTTCTTTGTCCAAATGAGAAGGGATAAAAGAGCACAATTACTACGGCTGTACTTTTTGAAAAATTACAAATATCCAGCTGCAAAATGTATTGCCAAAGCAAGAATAAATATGGCCCACAACTTATTTACCCAATCCAACTTGGTGTATCCAAATAAATACAGGATTGTTCATGTTGTCACTGATATACTTTGTGACGAGGATAGAACCGTACGTACTTCTACACAAAAACCTATCAGTATATTCAGTGTTTTAAAGTACTGTTAAAATAAGTTCTCATAAGAATTTGTCAACGACATTTTGTTTTATTCATGATTTTCCTCTCTCTTTCCTTGCCTTCTTCCTTCTCCATTGGAGCATGGATGTAGAAAATCTAGAAATTCGTGTTGAGGAAAATTTTGAAATCCACGTTTCTTAGGCCATGCAGCGTTTTCTAATTTTCAATCTAACTCACGTTTTTTCATTTCTTGTGAACAAAGTTATTTCTAGATGCTTGAATTTTCAACATAGGCCGGCCATGGCATAAACAGTCAAACCAAAATATTACATCCTTCTAGTTTAGAAAAGCATCCCAAAACACTATAAATAGCAGCATAAGGTTAGAAACAACTTACAAGATGAAGACTTCAACAAGTTCATTGCTTTCACTTCTTTTCCTTTTCTCATCTTCATTGGCAGCTTTGGCAAATACTCATGAAGATTTTCTTGAATGTCTTTCCCTTCATTCCCAGAATTCCAACGCCATATCTAATGTCGTTTACACCCCAAATAACTCTTCGTATTCATCAATCTTGCTATCTTCGGTTCGAAATGGGCGGTTTTCATCAGCTGCCACCTTAAAACATCCGGTAATTGTTACACCATTGCATGAATCTCAAATTCAAGCAGCCATATACTGTTCAAGAAAGCATGGCTTGCAAATTAGAATTCGGAGTGGAGGGCATGACTATGAGGGTCTTTCTTACCTTGCTAAAAGCCCATTTGTCATAATAGATATGAGAAATCTTCGATCAATCTCCATCGATACTCAGAATAGTACTGCATGGGTTCAAGTTGGTGCCACTCTTGGAGAACTTTATTATACCATTGCTGAAAAAAGTAGCACTCTTGGCTTTCCGGCGGGCGTTTGCCCAACTGTTGGTGTTGGTGGGCACTTTAGTGGAGGAGGGTATGGCATGATATCTCGTAGATATGGCATTGCTGCAGATAATATTATCGATGCACAAATAATCGATGTTAATGGAAGAATCCTTGACCGCAAATCCATGGGGGAGGACCTCTTTTGGGCGATTAGAGGAGGTGGAGGTGCAAGTTTTGGATTTATTCTTTCATTCAAGATAAGGTTGCTACCTGTTCCGCAAAATGTGACTGTTTTCAACGTAGTTAGAACTTTGGAGCAAAATGCAACCAAGCTTGTTCATCGGTGGCAATATATTGCAGACAAGATTGATGACAAATTATTAATCAGACTTTTCGTAAGAAGTATCAACTCTACTTCTAATGGAAAAAGATCAATACAAGCCTCCTTCACATCTTTGTTCCTTGGTGGAACTGATGAACTCCTCCCACTGATGCATGAAAGCTTCCCTGAATTGGGATTGGTGAAAGAAGACTGCATTGAAATGAGCTGGATTGAATCTGTACTATACTTTGCAGGTTTCCAAAGTGGAGAATCGCTTGATGTTTTACGAAATAGAACTTCTGGCATAAATGAGATCTCTTTCAAAGGAAAATCAGACTATGTGCAAAAGCCTATTCCTGAAAACGGGCTCGAGAGGATATGGGACTTGCTACATGAGGAAGATGTGGGGGCGGCTGAGTTGCAGTTTAGTCCTTATGGTGGAAGGTTGAATGAGATTCCGGAATCAGATATACCTTTTCCTCACAGATCTGGAAACATATACATGCTTCATTATGGTGTATTCTGGGTGGAAGAAGAGACAGCAGTGGCCGAAAGTCACCTTAGTTGGGCTCGGAGGCTATACGGTCTCTTGGCTTCCTATGTTTCCAAGTCTCCAAGAGCTGCATATTTCAACTACAGGGATTTAGACTTGGGTGTGAACAACAAAGGCAATACAAGCTATACACAAGCAAGTATTTGGGGTCTTCGATATTTCAAGAATAACTTCCAGAGATTGGTACAAGTCAAGACGGTGGTTGATCCCAGTAATTTCTTCAGAAATGAACAGAGCATTCCATCTATGTCACCGTGGTGGAAGAAGAGGGGTGATTAAAATCCACATAAAAAAATTTAAAATTCACAATGTTTATACATAAGCATGTGATTACTCATACTTCAGCCAAAAAGTGTCATGTCTAACTGTTTCATGTTTCATATGATATGTATAAATAAGATTGACAGATGTCTATGTAATTTCATATGTCGTGCATAATAAAATTTGATTGCTTATTTCACATAAACAAGTAGACAATTTGATTCTGTTTGCTAGATAAATGAAAATTCTTTGTTGAAAAAAAAGGAAAGGAAACGTAAATGGAATGTTTTACCCCTTTGGTCTGACCATAAGAAGACTCTCCCGTCCTTGTAACCACAAGGATAGACTTTGATTCTTCAGGGGATGATTGCTCGTAGGGATGATAACTTTCGCCATGATCTATTATAAGTCAAACTACATGATCTCCTCTGAGTCAAACCATATGATATTACTCCAAAAAGGACACCAATAATTGACACAAATCGATGAGTTAGCGTTGAATATGAATAACCCTATTTCATTGGAAAATATGTGAATAAATTTTTTAATCAGTAATTATGAGTCTAATTGTGAAAAAAAGAATTTGGTGAATACGAATTTCATTGAAACAATAAGTTTGAAGATAGTTAAATTTGAGCTTCATTGAAAAAAAAAGTAAAATAATTGTTGTAGAACTAAATAGTTGTTTTATAGAGTCATACTATGATGTGAATCAAGGACATTTTTCATTTAAGGGCATCTACATGTGGTGAACCACGTTAAGACACAGAGGGATCTTAGTCTTGGGGAGTTCTGTTTCATGCCTTTAAACGTGCCAGGCACCTACTCTTGGGTAATAGCCACTTGTAGGAAATGATGTGATCTCGATACGATGCCTGATGAGAGAGTTTAAATTTAGAAGTCAAAAAAAAAAAACATAAACTTCGCCCTAGAGGGGCGATATCACTTGCTTTTCCTTTGTTTGGCACATAACTATAAACTCTTCAATGATAAAAACGTATAGGAAAATGCAAAATCTTGACCCATTCGAGTGAGAGAGTTTGAAAAAAGTTAGGAATATTTAGACTTCGAAGTCTAAAAACCTTAAGTTTAGCTCTAAGGGGGCAAAATTGCCTATTCTTGCTCCATTTTGCCTGAAAATAGGTAGACACCTGCGTTTCGGTGATAAAAACTTGTAAGGAAATATTGGATCTTGATACGATTCCCGGTGAAAGAGTTTGATGCAAAACAAGGAAATTCTAGACTTAGAAGTCAAAAAATTGTAAACTTGGCTCTAAGGGGTTGAACTTGCCAATTCTTGCTCCGTTTGGCATTAAAAAGGACAGCCACCTGCCTTTTAGCGACAAGAACTTGTAAGAAAATACAAAATCTCAAATACGATCCCAGTGAACCCGTTTGTTGGAAAGTTAGAAATTACTTGACTTAGTTTCATATTGCTACGGCATAACATAGAAAGTGTGCACTGGGTCCAAACAAAACATAGTGTTTAATACTATGTAAAACATGGATTAAGAATTGTTTTTTTTTTTTTAAAGTTGTTACACTTATGATTGTAGGTTTCTATAGATTGTTCAAATTTACCAAAACAAATAGTGGTGAAGGGTGATGATGCACAAAATTGTCTTGTGCAAGATCAACAATCAAGAAGGTGAATAGGTGCAATCAATGAGCAACAAGCAATCAAAAGAAAAAATAGTAAATAAGAACTCAAAGATTTAGAGTGGTTCGGTCTCGGCTGATCTACTCCACTTTTGAGAATGACAGCAGTGGCCGGTGTTCTTTATTGATGAGTGACGGTACTCCGGAGAGTTACAATACTTTGAGGGAGAATAAGAGAGAGCAGTGTGTATAAGAGTGGGTGTAGAGATTTTGGAGGCCTTGCCCTCAATGTTGAGAAGGCTTACATTATATAGCTAGGATAAGGTAGTGGAGGCGGTGACATGAGGGAGAAGAATTCTATTGCTTTGACAAGTATTGTTATGGTAGGAGATCCTCTATGTCTATCTCCATATTATCTTCCCTCGTGCTCCTATTCATCCGGAGGAGAGCATTAGTTGGACTGAGCTTGGCCCTCGTCTTGGACTTGGACTTGTCTTGAGTAGGCTTGGCTTGGACTAGGATTGGAGTACAAAGGTGAAGAGGAACAAGAGGAGGGACGCCCAAGGGACTGCCATGGGCGGTGCCCAAGGGCTCCCCCGTCCTCCTCCTACTTTGGCCGTTGGCTTTTAATGCTGTTCTCTTGGTGTTTTCCTCAAGGGGTTGACATTGGACGCTTCTTTGGGCTTTCTCGATTTATTTAAATTGGGCTTGGCCCAGTAAAATCCGAGCTCATCATTTGCCCCCCATGCCCCAAGCCTCTGACTTTCGGTGAGAGGAAGGAGTTGTGGGCATGTGGTACAACTTCACCGGAGTAAGTCAGATTTTTCTTGTATTTCCTTCGGTACCACAACAAGTTCATGGGAATTAGGAGTTCAAATAGTTGTGGAGGAGAGAAGCGAGGAGGAGTCCATGTCCTTGATATCATAGGAGACTCCCATGGAGGTGCTTTGGGCGGCACCCACGTTGGAGATGGGAGAGGTGAAGAGGGCTTCAATAGTGCTCCCTTGGAGAAGCAGCTGAAGAATCCAAGGAGGGAGCACTTGGTGGGTGATGCCCATGGTGTGCATTTGAGTTACTGGGCAGCGCCCATGTGGCTAAGGTGGGCGCCCAAGGCAATGAGGTAGGCGCCCTTGGGGGAGAGGAACTGCTAGAGCATTGAAATCTGGCAAAACTTCAAACGGCCATAACTTCGTGAACGGGAGTCCGTTTGAAGCGAATTTTTTTTTGAATTCGGGTATTTTTTCGAGATCTATGAAATACAAAACAGACAAAGGCTGTTTGGTCAGCTAATTTTCCCAAAAAATACTTCTATCCCTCGAATTTGAGTTTTTAGCACAATTCAGTGAAACCGATCAATTTTTTTTTTTTTATATATCCTCGTCTATAAATAGAGGTCATTATTCATGTCTTGCTCATTCTTCTCCCCTTTCCAATTGTTCTGTCCAAAGGCTGTCTCCACCAAGCTTCTTCAAGAAGCTGTTCAGTCAAGCTTGCTTAAGAAGCTTCACACCAAGCTTCTTCAAGAAGCTTTAGCAAGGCTTCCTTGAGAAGCCATTCTTCCTCTATAAATAGGCCACTTCAAGAGTTCACTGTTCAACACCCATACCACCTTCACTACTCAAACCCATCTCCCATCACACAATATCCATGGAAACCAGGAGTTCAAGGAAATTGGACGAAATGTCGAAGAGTTCTAAGGGGTTGGTCTGAGGACCAGGCGGTGCTAGTAGTCAGGTGGGCAGCGCCCATGATGGTGGAAGGGTAGTGGGCGGCACCCATAGAGTGGAGGTGGGTGGTGCCTATTTGCTTGTTGGTGGTTCCCAAGCTTTGGGCAGTGGGTCGAGGAATGGAGAGGAGAAAATAGAGGCAGTGCCCACACTCCAGGCGGCATTGGGTATGATGTAGGCGAAAGAGTGCTTGGCCTTGTTAAGGAGCATCATGGAGGAAGTGCACCAGAGTTCCCTGTGGGCGGCACCCCCTTGGGCGGCGCCAAGGGCTTGGGTGATCTCCCTTCAAACTTCGGACGCTCGAGACTTTCTCCTCGTGGTGGTTTTGGCGTAGCCTGGACAACTGGTGAGCTACCCTTCGGAACTATCAGTGCAAGATTTGGCACGAGCAAAGAGGCTTCAATTAATCCTTTTGGTGCATCGAGAGGGACCCCAGACACAGGTGGGCAGCGGAGTGGATCTTCAAAGGAGACAGAGGGTGCCAGTCATGGGCTAGACAGCACCACAGGCGATGCCCATGGTGCGCTGGGCGGCGCCCCAGGCTATACAGTAGGCACCCCAACCGTAGTGCAGTCCCCTCTTCGCGAGTCCAGAAAGCGGTCGATCACCGATCTGCATGGGACTAGCTCTCAAGGTATGTTGCAGTATTCTTTTTAGTTTTTCGTTGTCATAATTATTTTCCTGAGCTACGGCCTAAACTTGCTTTTGTGGATATTCATCCAGGCGAGAGTGAGACTTCTCGGGACTCCGACGAAGGTTCAAATGCTGGAGGAAGCGATGGTTCCAAGGTAGCTTCTATACTTATCTTGCTTGACCATGATGAAGATATTGTCGAAATAGTTTTATCATATCGTATTCCACCCTGCATTACTTACTGTCGTGCTGAGGCCGATGAGTCGGCATGTTGTGATTCTTTGGGTGAGATTGTCATTTACGAAGGCATGTTGGAGGTGGGCCTTCAGTTCCCTATCCCCGGACCTATATGTCGGGTTCTCGAGCACTTGTCTCTGATTCTAGGGAGACTGGCTCTTAATGGTTAGAGGGTGATTTCAGTGTTCTTTGCCTTGTGGCAGTTGGTGCATGATGTTACCGTCCCTCCACCGTTCGAGGATTTTTTGGCTACATATACACTGGCAAAAAATCCTACTCCTCACTGGGGGTGGTACCGCTTCACCCCAAGATCAGGCAAGTTTATCGGCGGGCTTATGTCCAACCTTCGTAAATGGAAAAAAAGTTCTTCTTTGTCGGAGGCGAGTGGGCCTCCGAGTCCGACCATGACCTTATGCCCACACGACGGGATACAGTCCCAAAGACAAAGCAAGGTAAGAAATTTTTGCCCTTAATTTGTGTCTCCATCCTCATGTATTTATTCTTATGGTGCGATTGTCTTCTTGTAGCTACACCGACTCTAACTCCGATTTAGGAGAGGTTGCTCAAGATGGTTCGCAACAACCCAACCAAGGATTTTTCTGAGATTATGCTGGCGTCTGGCACCTCTATAGCTCGTTCCANAAGGATTTTTCTGAGATTATGCTGGCGTCTGGCACCTCTATAGCTCGTTCCAGGCCGAGAAAGAAAGGTACTTGATCCTTTCTCTTTTCATTTTGTAGTCTTCTTAAAGACTCAATGTGGCAGGCTTTTTGAATTGTGCTGGCTTTGCAGGTCCCCCCATTGACAGGTCGATGGTAGGGGAAGTTCTTACTTCTAGGATGACATCTTCCCTCCCTCATTCTTCCAAGATACCGAAGTCTAATAGCCTCAACTCTTCTCAACTGGGGTCTACCGGTCAAGCTAATCTCATAGAGGCTGACCTTAGTGATGTTCCTCCTTTTTCTCTGGTTGATGCCTCCCCACCCCCGAGAGACTAT